TATATATATAGACACACACAACTAAACTTTCATAGAAATAATAATCAAATCTTTAATATCGCACAAAAAATAATACTATTATCACTTTTTAAATGTGAAATACGCCTTTTCATATGTGGGTTTAAAATAGCAAAGTGATACGACAATCTTACTCTAAGCGGTTCTTGTCTTAGTGGTTCCCGCCTTAATTCTATTGATCCTGATGATCCCATGTGTGTCCTAGAATGAGCTCGGGATCGAGTTCTATAAGTCTTCTGGCTCATTTCATTTATCATCGTTCTCATTTGCTCCTTCAAATTGTTGCTTTGTTGCATAATGAACTCTCTAGAACAGTCTATCATTCTTTGTTCTTTTTTTTTTAATCTCCTTATTAGGCTGAAATATGAATTCCACGCTCACCCACTTTTTTTAATGTTTAGTTATTTAAGAACATAGGGTCTTGTATCGTTCATGAGCTCACATAGCCCAAGAGAAACCTTGTTTGAGAAAAATGTTGAAAAAGAAAAATGATTTGGAAATCCCCTCCCTCCAATCCTTGATGTCTCAGTCATTTAGAAAGAGATAGGGTCCAAGAGGAAACGATGGGAGGCAATTGGAGCATATGGGGTGTGATCCCTTCCAAGCCGAAGGCCAGTGCTGCCACCATTTATATAACTCTCTCTCCTTGGTCCTCTATTCTTCTCCAATGATAGAGGAGAAAGAAAAAGAATAACAAAACCTAAACCATACAATAGAAGGCTTGGTCGCAATGTCTTATCGAAAAGATGGGGACATGGGTGTCAGGCGACCCATAAATAGACATAGACCCATGTCCTTAACTTCGGCGGTTATCTTGAGAGGTGGTTGTAGGATCGATAGGTAACATCGGCGAGTCACTTCGACTGCTGCTACAGATAGCCCACACATCAACAAGTGAGGACAACAACCCATGCACCTGGGCTAGCTACTTTGGTAGCTGGTAATGAAAGCAGACCACCTTTGTAATAGGCGCTCAATGATATCTATATGTAGGAGAAGATGGGCCTTCAGGGCCCAAGCGATCGGTCAACACATGCATCAGCCCATAAAAGTCATTTATATGTATACACATATATTACTTGCATGATGCTTTTTTTTTTCAATAAACAAAACAGCCATGGATACGCTGCATTATTCCCTGCAGACATCACATGCCAGAGGTGCCGGCCATCCATGACGGCTTTTGTGAGATTTTTTTTTTGAAAACAAAAATGAAAATGGGTCCCACCGAAGCCGTAATGGACGGCGGAGATCAGACACCGCATGCAGAGATGCATGGAGATCAGACACCGTGCACGGAATAATTTTTCCATAGATACAGGCCTGCATGTGGTGTCCGCACGGAATAATTTTTCCATGGATACAGGCCAAATCCTATTTAAATCTGCCTACCAAACAACCCCTAAAAGCGTCTCCAAAAGATAAAATATCTTCAATTTTAAAAATCAATCAAATGTTAATTTTAAGAGAAAATTCCACTGCATAAGCATATAGAAAGACTGCATTGGGCAACATATATGCAGCGACTTCCTCCAGAAGCTCGAGCACTTTCACATTCTCAAGAAACAAATCGGAACCATTTCCGCAACCTAAAGACAAAATCCTTTCAATGCGGCTTAGGTCCCATGGCTCACAAAACAAAATATACAGACTTCTGTTTGAATTCAAAGAGAGGGATACGGAAAGAAGGAGAAGGAAAAGAGAGGAAGTTTGAAAGAATCCCCGGCCTAATACTGTGCTGATTGACGGCTGTTCGAGGAAGAAAATTGGCGAAAAGTGGAAGAGAAGAGAAGAGAGAGAGAGAACTAACCGGATAATTGGGGATTCTAAGCTTGGAATTGCGGCCATCGCCACCATCAGACGCCAGCAAGCTTCGGCGAGAGAAGTGGAGCGCCGACGATGGAGCCCTCGGAGAGGGTAATAAACCAGCCGAACATGAGCCGAAGAGGCATTGCCGCTTCGCTGACCGTTGACTCCTTTGATGTTATTACTATTGTTATTTTAGGGAACTTTACATCTATACCTCATAATTCTTGAATATTTCCGCATTTACATGTAATTTCTAAATATGAAAATTTAGGTGTTAGATATGTAAATAGATAAGAATTTTGTAATACACGTTAATGTGGTTTGTTTTAATTTAGGCTTACAAAAATTGTTTTTTTAGAGGGGGAGCTTAACTTCCATGTACAATGATTAACTGCAAATTATGATATAAAAACAAGTTATTAAAATCCTTAATTATTCAAATTATGATTCTTTTGAATAGAATTATAAATAAATTTACTATTATTTTAAATATAATTACCATGATATTGAATATTATAAGTAGAATAATTAAATTTATTATTATAGTAATTACTTTCAAAATATTGATAAGTTAATTGATAACTTGGACTAGAATAAGAGATATGAATAGAATTAATAAAAATAAATTGTGATAAATGAGAGGACTTTAGATTAATTCATAATATTTATTACTTATATAATATAATAGTTAATCGTGGATTAAAACTAAGTCAATGATTATAAGTTGCACCAACAATTTATTAAAGATTAAGGATCTGTTTGGGGCAACTGTAACTTATTAAATAATCTGCTGATAAGCTAGATGTGGTGGCTATTACAAATTTTTATTTTTTTAGAAAAGTCAAACTGTTGTCAATAAGCTTCCACCGCACCTAGATAGATGCGGTGTGAAAACGCTATTTTTTGCGTTTTGAAAACACATAAATTGTCAAAACCCAGTTTAACCAAACAGGCCAGGTGCGTTTTCTAAACGCCACTGCACCAAATAAGCTGCCCTAAACGAACCCTAAATTTTTCAAGATATCTCTCTTTCTGATTTGTGGTTCAGTCCATCTGTGTTTAGAGAACTATTTTCTTATTGATTTCTAAAAATTTCTATAATGAGAAATCATTTTTTTTTTCAACTTGTGCTCGCCACCACTACCACCCACCAACACCAAATGATGTTTGATACCTTTACCATCAAATATTACATTGATTTTTTTTTTTCGAATAAATAAAAATAATAGCTAAACAATTTTAAATAACTCTTAAATGTTTTAAATATATTATATTTCAATTATATAGTCTTTTTTTATTAAACCAAATAACCCTTTTCCTCATGATGCATCTTAAATGAAAAAACAAATAAGCTAAGAACATCCACATATACTATTTTCAAGGGATAATTACATGCAGAGCATTTCTTTTATCATCCTGTAAATAGTGATGCTTTCGATGTGATACGAAAGATTGCGGTATAAATGTAAAAGTGCAAAGTTTAAGTGTTAGACATATAAATATATGAGAATTGGGTGATATATATGCAAAATGTCCCTTTCTAATAATTATGCAACTGTAGGTCAGTAATTAACCTAGAGTGGTTCGGAAAACCTTAGGTCAGCAGGTCCTGGACCAAGTATACCTTTCTCCTGAGGCACCAGAACACAGCCATGGCTGCTGCTTGGATCTGGCTGCACATTTTTATCATCCTCAGCTGCTGCCTGCTGCCTCCAACCATTTCCAAGCCAGTCTTGATGCTGACATGAAAATACAAAATGAAAATTAAAAGCGAAAAATTCTTACACATCTAACACCTAAACTTTCATATTTACATTTATAATGTTTTGGTGCTACAAACCTATGCATGAAAAGATGTATTTCACTTCTGAAAAGTAGGTGATAGTGTTATCTTTGGTGTTATGTAAAAGATTTGAGTGCTATACGTGTAAGAACTAAAATTTGGGTGTTGGATGTGTAAATGAGCATTTATATTATTATCAGTCATTTCTGTGGAGAACAAAGGTTAAAAAATCATATATTAATAAAATTATAATCATTAGTCTTATCCCAATTATTTATGATTGGATTTATGAATCAATGTTATCCATTCATTATTATTCAGTGCTGCATGAAGTATTAGTTATTACTTTGTTGGACCATTTCTTCCATCTAAATTACCGTTGATTTGCCTCTTCTCCTTGATAATTTTTTTAATTCATTTTTATCTAACTATCATTAAAGCGTCTTTTAAATTCAATTTAAATCATTTTAACTACCTATTATCTTCTCAATTCGCATTGGCTCGGCTTCAATCGAATCTTCAGTTCCCTTAAACAATGATAGACGTAAATTTTATAATATCTTTAAGTATTTATCCACAATGACTGTATAACTTCCGGTAAGCTATGACTGTATAACTTCCGGTAAGCTACGATCTGGACTCCTAAATTGGTTCGAGTCATGGCCATCATCATTTGGGGCATTCGTGTTCACATTTATAGTAAGCCACACTTCATTGTTTTCTATCAAACTCCCTTCTATAATTTCGGGTGTATCTCTATGTCGGAATGGATATGTTTATTAAGTTGAGTTGACTTAAATTTTTTTTAATAATTATCATATTAGCTCTTTTAACAAGATTATATTAATTAATCATAAAATTTGGCTCGAATACCACTTTTGTGACAACCCGTTCCGAGGCTTAGAATTAACTAGACAGGTACAAACGATTGAACGGTGGGAATTAAGATTTTTATATTCATTTCCTATAACTAATATTTAGTTAAATAAAAGAGTCGGAAAACAAAAAAAAATTAAAGTTTACCTTATTACAGATTGTCAGCTTCTTATATAAACATTTTTTTTTTCATCTCTTATTATTAAATCATTTAATTACAATTAAAAATTTACCTTAAGAAAACAGTGAGTTAACCAAAGCCAGTGAATACTCGTCCGCATAAACTTTAATACAAGGAAAAAAAATATGTATGTCAGTTAAGTTTTGAATGAATCAATATAAAACCTTTGATGGTTATGAATATGGTCACTTACGATAGTTCATGCCATTAAATGCGTTTTAATATATCAATAACATATCTTTATTATTCTATATATGTACAGTTGTTACAAGAGCATTGTCTAAAAATTATATCAATTAAGGTACTTCAATATCAATATTTTTTTTCATTTACATACACAAATATCTTAGCGTTCCTCTGCTAGTACCATAAAGAGATGAATCCATCATGGCTAAACATGCATGTGAAAATATACTATGTAAATCAATCTTTAATAATGATTATTTCATTCTCATTTGCATAGCAATTAATATATTTATATAACATTCAATATCTGACAAGAGAGAGAAGTTAACGAAAGAGTCGTTTTTAGATGGTTTGGTCACATAAACGGTTGGTGTAGCTCAAATGACGGACAAGACTAGAGTGAGTCAACTTAAATGGTTTGGTCACATTAAATGTCAACAATCAGATGATCCAATTAGAAGAATAGAAGTTTTAGATTCGACTTATGTTAAGAAAGGTAGAGGTAGACTTAAAAAGACTTGGACATTTTGTATAAAAAATGATCTTGATTTATTGGATTTAAATGAAAATATGACACTCAATAGGACACAATGAAGAAAAAAAGATTCATGTAGCTAATCCCACTTAGTAGGATACAAGTTTGTTGTTGTTGTTGTGTACTCTCATTATTAACAACATTCATTCACTTTTAACTTAGATTTCTCCAACCTTTAATGGAAGTACCATTTTGGCATAATATTTAAGAGTTTAGGGACTAAATTAAATTTTTTTCATTATTAGTTTTTAAAATTTTGGTGTTTCATTAATATCACATTTGAATGGTTCCCAATTATTTTAAAATTCAATAAATGAACTTTATGATACTAACAAAAATGCTAAACACAAAATGCAATAAATATCTCTTATGATTAACATAATGTTGAACACCTCATTCATCTAGAATATTAATATCCAAATATTTCTGCAAATCATTTCGTTTGTTATTAATAATCAAACTTTCATTAAAAAGATTCGCTAAACATGCTACTTCAGTATCGACTATAACTCTTCAAATTTTCATAGGCATCTAATATGGCCCCAAAGTTTTCCTTTATGCGTCTTATTTAGAGCTAACCCACCTCACTATTTTGGGCCCATCTAAACAATATCTCATTATTTTATTAATCATTCTCTTTAAAAAAATTCTTTATTAAAACTTCAATAAAACAATTTCTCGGTTTATAGTATTTTAATCTTTTAATAATATGTTCACATTTCACTAAAATTTTATAATAATCACTTTTAATGCATCTAATTTAATCAAAATACTCCTATCCCTTGATAAATAATCAATAATATTGAATTTTTTTCTCATATAAGCTTAATCCTATGAAATGAAGAGATCATTTTTTATTTGGGGCATTTACATCCGTACCACACAATTCTTATATATTTACATATCTAACATCTAAACTTTCATATTTATATTTATAACACTAAAACTATAACACATCAAAAATATTATCATTATTAATTTTTTAAATATGTAATACACCTTTTAATGAATGGGTTTATGACACGAAAGTGTTATAAAGGTAAATATCAAACTTTAAGTGTTAGATATGTAAAGACATAAATATTGTGGTATGTAAATTTCCCTTTATATTAATACAAAGTAATATACACTTTTAAGACAAATATGAGGTTAATAAAGAGAATAAATTACTCACCTCTTCATCCGGTATTATCGGCGTCAAGATAGGGGGTGAAGCATCTGGATCAGACTTCTGAAAGACAAATATGGAATATAAACCTAAGATAAAAAAGAATGATGAGTTGCAACAGCCATGTTTTATGCAATCGAAATGCAGATTATTCGAGGAAGAGAGTACGAAACAAATCACCTAATATATCGAATGAGCGGGCTAGAAGCTTTCCTCTGGGGTCCAAAAAGTTCGCCCCAAAGCTGCTAAGCATCCCAGCAAATTGAGCTCTGAGAAATTTTTTAAAGCTTTAGAATTTGTTCGTTCACCAAGAGCCAAAAGAATGTTCAAATAAATAAGTCAGACAAAGTTATATGCATACATATATATAATTTTTACATATATATGCCACCTTATCTATGCATGAAAAAGTTTATTTTAGCTTTTAAAAGTTAAAATAGTGATATTTTTTATGTGATATGAAAGATTTAGATGCTCTATATGTAAAAAAACAAGAGTTTAAGTGGTAGATATGTAACTAAATAGGAATTGGGTGGTATGCATGCAAATGCCCCTATCAATAGATTAAAAAATACTCCTAAGAATTAATTAATTTTTTATAGGCCATCATGAAATTATTAGTGTATTCCTTGCTTTACCACTAGGCTTTAGTATTTTCTCATACAAAGATTCTTCTCCAAGTAAAAATAGTGCATATATGTAAAACGAATCATATAATCAATCTTCATGTAAAGAAACATATAAGACTATAAACAAATACTTTCATTGATAAACAATAGCTAAAACTAATTGGCTCCATAAGAAAAATAGAGAAGGCTTAACCATATGTCCACCGTACAAGCATCAAAAAATACATGTTGGCACAGCAAGAGGTGGGACAGTCTCCTTTTTCATTTCATAGAAATGCTAAATATAAACCCAAGCAACCAACAAGGAATTTACCTGTATGGCTTCAAATTTGACTTTTGTAACATACTAAACGCAAAATACCAGAATAAAGAAAACAAGAAACATCAACATCATGTATTATATCAAGCATTTGTATTCACAACATAAATCAGAAATCTTAATATATTCCTACTAGAAATTCACATTTATATCTAAATATAAGAAAATTCAGTCATATGAACATTTCATAAAAAGTTGAAGGATAAAAGGCCATAATAACTATATACTACTGCTAAAAAATGGTTTAAGAAATTCAGGTAAACAAATATTATTTAAATCTAAACCCTCCAAACAATTTGCATCTATATAGAACTTGCATCTATTAGAAGTTCGGGTCTTTCATTCATAATTTGGTTTAATTCTTCCCTGTAGCTCATCCATTTACTCTTGCGGTGGAAGCATCAGATCCCCCCATGATTAACTTAATGAATTTCCTTACCTCAGAAAATGTGAAGTTAACAGGTATAGATTGCATGAAGTATATGGTTCTGAGTGACACCATGATTTTGCATAAACTAACATCTCCTCTCAGAACAACCTTCCTACCCTCCTTCAAAGGTCCCTTGCAAATTCCCATACTTTTCTCTACCTTCCCCATTCCCATCATGACGCAAAAGCTCCCTGTAGTCACCAGCTTCAACCCTAGCTTTTCCACAATATGTTTTGAGATAGAGTTAAGTGTGGCTCCACTATCCACCAACACCACAAACGGTTGTTCCTGCCGATCTATCCCCTCACCTTCATGGTGTGATTTGGGGTAAATCCCACCACCGAATTGAGAGACACCTCCGTACATCCAAATAAAGATACTCCTCCATTGCTTCCTCATCTGAGTTTTCACTCTCTACATTCTCCCCTTGAACTAAGAAAACCTGAAAAGCACGCTCCTAGCAACGGTGTCCTGGGGCGTATTTCTCGTCAGCAGTAACAAATCATTTGGCTCTTGTCCTGCACTTCTGCATTTGTGAGGCGCTTGAAATTACCACCAGGGCGGGGTAAGGTACTCTTCGCCTCGGCATCTCTTCCTGAAATAACACCATCTAGGTCTTTTGTGGCATTGCTATCACCGTGCTCTTGTAGAATCTCCCGGTATTGCCGCTTTTGCCGGTCTTCTTCACATGTTTCTTACCTCCATCATCAGGGCGAGCTCCATCATTTCCCTTAATCCAATCGGTCTCAAGGTGCAGATGGCAGCTTGTATGTCAGGCTTCAGGCTTTTCAAGAAGTTCCCTTCCAAACCAGCTGCAGAAATCCCCCTCAACCTCCCTAACAAAAGCTCGAACTTCTCTAGAAACTCCATAACCGTCCCCTCCCCTCCCGAGTCAGAGCTTAGAATCAGAGCTTAGAATTGCTCGTGTAGGTTTCCTTCTCAAATGGCTCGGAAACGTTCCAACAAACAATTCTTAACTCCTCCCATGAGTGTATTGAATGTCTTGCCTCCATCCACTAGAACCATGTTCAATAAAGCCTTCCCCTCCAAGCATAATCCCGCTGACATGAGCTTCTCTTCCTCATTCAGCCTGTTGATCGCAAAGTATCGCTCCACCCGATATACCCATCCATGTTGCATCCTGCCCTTTGAAGGTTGGCATCTTCAGTTTCCTGATCATCGCATCTCCACCCAACTTCCCCTTCCTTCGGAATTTCCCCCCACGTATCTAAGGTGAAACTCCCTCATGCGGTCATAGGCAAATCCCACTCCCGATTCCCTCCTTCCCCCATCATACTCTTCCGTGCCCCTTCCACCGTCCCTTCTCCAATTTTCGGCCCATCCCCCTCCATCATAAGTCACCACTCCCCCTCCTCACAGAGTCCTACAGGCGCTCTTGTAGGTAGATGATGTCTTCTTCGTTGTCTTCTCGCTCGATCTCCTTCTCTTTTGACATGGTCAAGGATTCCCTGATCAATCGTTGGTTAGGGTTTGCAGTTGGAGCGGTTGACACGGCCTTGGATTGCATCTCCATGAGTTTTTTCATCATCTCCCGCATTTCCCCTATGCCATCAAATCCACCATTCATTCAACTTTCAATAGAAGAAAATATGTCCTCCAAAGTAGCAAACATTTCTTCCAATCCAGAAATTTGCTCCACCTCTCCTTCTAGCACATCAACTTTCTTTGTTGTCATCCCACCAAGATCTATGCTCTGATAAAAATTTGATACGCCTCAGCACCAAAATCAGCGAACAAACCATGACGAAACAACAATTAATAGGTGAAAGAAACAAAAATAAGGGCTACTCTTACAAAAATCAACATAGAACAAGCAAGATACAAGGTTGATCTACTTTCGAGAGGTACATCGGCTCTCCCACACCCTAGACGTCTCTATGAACACCACAAGAAGAAAGAAAACAACAACCACACAAAATATGCATAAAGAAAACAAACCCTAGCTCCTCCCTTCACTAGAATCCTCCCACTCCCTTTTGAAAAAAAAATTTCCACTTTCCCTTCAAACCTTCTTTAATTTCTCCTCCTTGAGTAAGTATTTAAGCCACTCGTGGTCCCCACCTACTCCTTGTCCTTTTTTGCAGCAATACATTGCCGCCCCTCTGCTTCCTCGTGCGAATAGGATCGGTAGGGCGAGCCTTCACGTGAGCAGGATCGGCCCGGCGGGCGCGGGTCGCTGTCTTGGCTTTCGACCAGTCCAAGAGGGACCGGTCCAGTGGTGGCAGGCATAACAGTGAACTCCTTCTATGATCACCTTTTACCTTCAATAATCAGTTGAATCACATCAGAAGATAGGGTGAGGACAAATTGTTTTTTACATGATGGACAAAGATTTGCCAACTGATATAACGTTTCTTGATTATAGCTTACGGATGCCACATTCTTATTTCCTGCAGTATTAACAGAATAATTGCATTACTATCTCTTCTATACCTTTTTTTTTTCCTAAGCCTTCTGTTTCTTTTTTTCGTTCATATTACTGAACCATGTCACACACTGCGGGAGTTGGTCATAGAAGTTTTATGATGTGGAAAATGCTTGCAAAAGGCAGAGTATTAATGCTTAATTAGAGTGCTTAGATAGATGGTGTTTTCAACTCAATGTTTCAAGATTTAATGTACACACACTTATTACTTAGAATTTACAAATAAAACATACAAATGAATATTTGTTTGTGTGTGTGTGTGTGTTTCTGGTTTCTGTGGAGAGAGAGACAAAAGAAAGCTTAAATTATCAAAAACATATTTATTAGAGTGTTGACAGCAGTGCAAGTAATCATATAGTGACTAAAGAGTTCCCAACAATAATAGAATTATCAAGAACCAATATTTAATATTATATCTTTTATTTTTTATGTATTAATCAAGTAAATCCTCACGTAGAGGTATAACGCTAAGCGACATTTACATATGACATTTCTAACCAAAGAGACCTCATCTAACATCGAGAAGCTAAATCAACAAAGGGAATGTTTAAAAGATATATGACTTAAAATTACTTGAACAAAGACTAGGCATATAAGATACAATTTTAGGTTAAATATATAGTTGATAATTATAAGTTAATTGCTAAACGATTAAGTAAACTTAGGCGAGATACGTCTAAGCATCCTGATTCCACATTTCAAAACAATGGAAATACAAATGAAGGATATACTTTACAGATAATGTTGATTGGTTGAAATTGAGGAGTGCAATGTGATAAAAGAATATTACGGAATTTAAATGTAAATTTTATGAAACTAAAATTAGAATAGCTAGACAGGTCCTACTGGTGGCGATAAATAAGACATTGAAAGTTAGTTTAAGAATTGTATAAAAAAGAATACTAAGATCAATGTGCACAAAAAAACTAAGTGGATAGATTGAGAAACAATTAAGAGTATGTTAGAGGATTAAAAAAGTGCTAGTAAGATATGTAAAATATTGGTGAAAATAAGTAATACAGACGGAACTTATGAAAAATTCATACAAAATAGGGTCAACATCTTAAGCAATGTTCAATAAAAATGAACGGAGAACAAAGATGTGTTAAGCTAAGCCCAAGTAGTTGGGATAATACTAAAAATAACAATTAGGAATAGGTGCATCTAATCGGACTCATATTCAATTCAAAAATATTTTTTTCACATATATTTGTCTAAACGAGTTTTATATTACAAGCTGCAACTATTTAGCTTTATTAACCTGCAAATTATAATTTATAATGCATCTTACCATCAACTTTTGGTATTAGGAAATCACTAATAAAAGATCAGAATAATATTTATTAAATTTTTCTTTGAATGTGATTGATCTAGTCCAATCTAAATAGATATGATATTAGAGAAATTCTATTCATTAATTGCCCTATTTTCAAATGAAGCAAACATCCACTTGATCAATTTTTTAAGTCGGCGCCTTGTCACAGGTAAATCGGGCGCATGAGGTTTTAAGGCGCAAACACCTTGATAAATATGATGCCTTCGATACGTAAAACTTTGAATTAACTGATTCCCTTTTCATTTGCCATGAAATATCACTCTCATACAAGAACATACAATCTATGTTAAGCTTCTCGCCATCCTACAAACCTAAAGTTTTAAATCTGACAAAGCACCCACTTAGTCCTTTAAATGTTAAAAGATCAACAGTTCTGCGATTCACTCCAACAAAGTAACAGCTTTTCACTGCTTTCTTCTCTTTCTCATTATGTTGCTCATCGAACTAGCATAAATCAAACACATCCCAAAAAAATTGAAATGGGGCAGAAAGAAGTACAAACTCATGGTTGACATAGTTTTTGAGTGGACATTTTTTTTCATTTTTGTGAAAAGATGCACTAAAACAACCCGAACTCTGATACATGGACATATTGTCGCCTTTGGGCTAATAGTCTCACAGCTTTGTCCAATCAATGTAGCTTCCCAGAAGGCAGAAGGTTACCCATCTCAAGAATATTCCCATATGAACAAAACTTAACCTTAGAGTTTCAGATAAAATTCTAACCATCACACCAAAAGGTTGGCCTATTTACATGGGAATTATTTTAGTCCCGATTAAAAGAGACTTGGGACTATTTTTGCACTTCTAAAAACTCTTGAACTAAAATGGCCCCATGTAAATAGTCCGGGACTATTTTGACACTTTACTCATTTTATTTTTTATTTTTTGAAGATTGAAAAAGAATTGTTTCAGTTTAAAGCTTTACTTTCTTTCTCTTGTAAATTTTTGCACATAATGACAAAAGAGTAACATTTTTAATATAGTTAATAGGAGAAAGTAAACAGACCAAATCAAGCTTTAAATTCACGTGATTGACACCTGTTATCATCATAAAACTCAGCCAGATTTTGTATCTCCACATACTCCAGACCCGCCTCCCTAGCTAACCTGATTCAACATCACAAACCAATAAATACATATCTCACATCCTGCTTTTTTATATTTCTACAAAATTAAAATCAATTTTGAATGAACTTAAACCTGATTAAGCTTGGAAAATGCACCAAGCAATGAGTCTCAGATGTAATATCGTTAGCAAACTTTAGCATGTACTTCTTTCCAAAGAACGGAAACCTAAAGAATTTTTAGGTGAGTTGAATACTACTGTAAAAAGATGCTGCAACCATTAAAAATTATAAACTATTCATGATTTCATACTTTTCTTCTTCAACTTCAAAAGTAATCACAAAGTTGTCAGATCTTATGCAGTTTTGGACACCCTTTAAGCCACTTCCCTTATTATGGGAAGCTTCAACGATCTTTTGGTACTTCGTCCTTGAAAAAAAAGGAAGGATGATGATTAGCAATTCAAACACACAAAAATTGTTAGATTAAGTTTAAAAGAAGTGATAAAGGAATAAAAGTTGATTCAAGAAAATTTGAAAATTTATCAACCAAAATGTGGCCTAAACATCTAAAATATTTTCTACAAATAATAGAAACACTAATTGGCTAAAGTGAGATGAACAAAGAATCATCAATAATTACCGCCAATAACATTATGTCATTGAATAGCTCTAGTCAACTAAAATAGTCAGGTATCCATAAGAGACAAAACCTCTCATACTTAATATTCTCTTTTTCAAAGGAAAGATAAACTAAATTAAAAACAGAGTTTACAAAACATGCTATGTTATCTCTAAGATACGACAGCAATTATCCATGCAGAAATTGAGAAATTTATTGATGAAAGTCAGATGTGTGCCTGCATGGAGTCAGCAACAACTAATAGTTGAGCCCAACATAAAAAATGAAAGCTCTCATCTGTTTAGATATATCTTCAAACATCCATTTCAATCAATTATCACATGTAAAATAAACACAAGATAAATTTAAAAAGCTTATACAACATATGTAGTAATTTCTCGTGAAGAATACTTCTTTATATGCAGTATTATAGTAGGTCCTTGAAAAAAGAACTCTGAGATTTCAAGAAAGAATCCATATGATACCACTTACATGGCATAAGGAAAATGAGCCTTGTTCCACAAAAAATTTGCGAGGAAACGAACGCTCCAACAAGAATATCGATTCAGCGAAAATAAAATATTTGGAAGTACATTTTATTAAATAGCAAAAACAATAAATATAAGATACAAAAATATCAATTCAGTGAAAATAATAAACGAATTTAACAGTCAGGGTATTGACAAAACTCAAGCAAAAGAATAAGAATATACCCATACCATATAGTAGATGAATCTGGAGTTATACCAAAAAAATATCCCCCCGGTTTAAGAAGAGATGACACATTATGCAGGAGGGACCTTGCCCTCTCTTCGTTTTCAAAACAAAGCTGGAATGATGCCCCTTATCAAGCAAATAGTATTTGTAGGATAAAATAGCAAGATAATCATCTGCGTCATAGTACCTGCAAATGCTGCAAACAGCAAACAATATCGACTGGAATACCTTTGTCATGCAAAAGTGATCCCAAATCTTCCTGCCATACAAAAATATAGTTTTATAATACATAAAGCTGCATGGATAATAGAGCTCCATAAATTTTATATTCCTAATATTTCATGAGGAAGCCTTAGGCATGATATTTTATCGATAAGGACATGGGGTGAACGTCTCAAACCATAGGGCATAAACTCCATAAACTTTATAATTTTAACATTTAATAAGAGAAAAATCTGATTAAAAAATCAAAATGCAAAAAAAAACTGAAGTAAATTTTAAAATTCGAAGTCTGTGATCATAAGATTTATATTCTAACTTCAAGTCTAACTAAAACAAAATGAGACATGATAATGAAACAAGAAGAATGAAGAGTCATTATAAAGATGAAGATGACCAACAAGCTGATTAGAGAAACGAAGAGCAAGAGCGTAAGGATTTAATGCTTCTTGGAGCTTGTAAGTGAGGAATCAATTTGATACAACTTAATTTTTCAGATATTAAAAGAGAAATAATAATTTCATTCATTTTTTTATTTAAATGGATAAGATAGATATTTGTAATAGATTATAATTTAGTAATTAGATAATTTTTAAGTTGTTCGCGAGACTATTGCACCATAGACGTAAGCATAAATGGCAGGTCCTAAGTGCCCAAGGCATTGACTTGACCTGTAGGTTGGATAACTTCAGTGATTATCCAAATCAACTATACCCTCTTCTGCCCCAAAGCATGCCTATACATACATACATACATACATATATATAGGAAACATAACTGTTTATTTATGGTGCAAAACAAGCATAAAGAGAAGAGAAAAAGAGTCATGTGACTAATGCTAAGAGAATTTCATTGTACACAATTGCTTTTCAAAACCTAGTCATAGGCTATGAGACATGTGACCAGTGTTAAGAGAATTTCATTGTACTCAATTGCTTTTCAAAACCTAGTCACAGGCTATATTTAGAGCTATCTAATTCCCTACTAAGAAAATAAGAAATTTATTCAAAAATTCAAAACTAGCTTAAATATAGAGAATATCAGACAAGATAAATCCTATTTATTTAGATAAATTGCTTGATAAGACAAATCCATTAATAAATGCTTGTCACATTCATTTTAATATACCAACATGAATATTCCGATGAAGAAATCTCTCGTTGGGTTTGGGGAACTAGAGGAGAGTAATTTTGTGGAGTGAATTGAAAGTTATAATCGTTTCCTCAAATTGCTTCTCATTGACTGCTCACCTTCCTGTTAGAATATTTGGATTGAATATGGCCTTGATTTTCTCCATGCATGGATTGATTCGTGGAATCACTTTTAACCAATCCAAAACCTACTTGAAAAGTGGGCTCAAATCCCACTTTTATAACTTGAATTGTGAAGTATGCCTTGGCTTCTTTAAAACTTGAACAAAACCTCTGAGTTTCATCTTACTTGTATTGCAAGCAAATGTTATGCTTAAACTTCTTATTTTGAACTTGTTTAGCATGAATTATGATTCCACCATAAAATCAGAGGTCCCATTGCCGCAACACTGGGACTGCACTTGACTTACTGTTTTGTGGTTCACAACCCTTCCTCTTCACTGCACCAGCCATCCCCTTGCCTATCACTACCGTTCCAGACCCTCCGCTTCACTGTCAATGCAATTCCAACCGCTCCTTTTGATGTCCCAATAATCTGCAAACCATTTCAACCTCCTGCCACCACTTCCCGACCGCCAAGCCGACCTCCACCACTCCCAAATAGAGCCCTAGTGTAATTTCTCTTCCAATGGTGCTTGTTGTAATATTCTATTTTTTATTAGTAATAACATTTGTTTCTTCTATTGTAGTTAAGGTTAATTCAAGTATCGTTTGGTATCAGAGCTAGCCTACTCCTAGCCCTATTATAGAGTTTCTAGCAACCCCCCATATAATCTCTCCCCGCTCACCCCCCCCCCATTTTACACACCTCTTTCCACCAATCTGTACCCCACCCCAACCACGCTACCACTGAGACAATTGTCGAAACCTGATCAATAACTACCATGGACGACATACAACAGCTATTCCGCCAAGAGTTGCATTGGCTCGATGCTATTGAGGAAAGAACCCAATAATGAAGGTCATGAAGGAGAGCAAGTAAAACACTTGAATCTCTTTCGTAGAGATGATTCCAGTGGAGAAAAAGACATCACAATTGAAAGCTACAGAGATGAGGTGTCTATTGCAAGATACGGAGATGAGGTGCCTATTGGAAGATACGGAGATGAGGTACCTACTGGAAAATACGGAGATGATATGCTTGTTAGAGGATACCGAGGTGAGGCACGAGGATACATAAATGAGATGTTTGTTAGAAGATACTTAGATAGATTGCCTGTTAGAAGATACAGAGAAAACATGCCTACTGGAGGATATAAAGATGACATGCTTATTAGAGAATACAAAGACCTGAGAATGAAAGTGGATCTACTGGACTTTGAGGGGAAAAATGATTCAGTTGACTTCCTTAAGTGGATGTAGACAGTTGAGCATATCTTTAAATATAAAGAGATAAAAGAGAGTGGAGCTCACCGCCATCAAGCTGAAGATAATTTTAATTGGTGGTGGGAGAATCGAAAGATAGAGAGAGACAAAGAGAAGGACAAGACATAATCACTTCTTAGGAGAATATGAAATGGGGGATGCGACGCCAGTACCTACCCCCTCACTACCACCACGATATTTTCTTGAAGCTCGACTATATGCTGTAAAAGGAGCTATCAGTGGAGAAGTACACGAAAAAAGTTATGCAACTTAAGTTGAAGTGTGAGTTGAACGAGACAGAGAGCAAACAATAGCCAGATATTTGGGAGGCATGAAACTTGTCATCAGTTAATATGATTTAACTGTAACCCTATTGGACAATGAGGGGTGTGCAAACTTTAGCATTGAAAGTGGAGATGCAATAGAAGTAGAGCAAGCAACCATCGCCAGTCAAATAGCCATTCATACATTGAGGCCTCAAGAGGACTACACCTTAAGGAGTGGAAAAGGCTGGTCAAGAGCAGGACAAAGTCACTCCAAGTAAGAAGAAACCTCAGAAGAATAACACACCCACTACAGTCCTAGCTAGAAAATATTTCTGGTGACATGATTTTGAACACATTCCTTCCAGTTTCCAAACGAATCTGACGATGGTCAACAAATCAATTCTCTTAAACATTGAATTTTATAGTTCAATAATAGAAGCAAAAAAAAACATGGCATTTATGGGACTAACTTTTCTCCACCTAATAGTAAAATCGCCCTTATAATTAATTCTTTTGTTATCGCCTACAAATGAAAGATCAAAATCGTTCAATATCTATGACAACACTAAAGATCAAAATCATTCAATATCTCTGACAGCACTAACACTAGTAGCATGCAATACTTCAAAAACATTATGATTATTTGATCATCAATTAGTTGAGTCACATTTTTCATAATGTGCGTCTCAAATTGCATGATAAGATAATTATATGTTTTATTAATAGCTTACATCAATTATGAATGGAATATTGTATGTATTATACAAATTTGAATGGTGGAATACAAGAGTAAACCTAGACTTTCAAAAGTACGCCTAGTTATCTCATCATCTCTACATAATTGTATATTTCACATATTTGATGAATGGTTAAAACATTACGAAAATTCATGAAACTCAACCCACATAGTTTTATATGGTAGATCGTGTCAAAGTTGTGATCTTAATTTTGAAAAACATATGAATCTATAAAAGCAAACACACAAAGGAGATGATTTAAGGAATCCCATAAACAAGCAACTTTATTTTGTAATTAAATTATCAGATGGATTGAAGAAGTTTTGAAAATTCAAAAATTTAACTTCCATAATTTATTCATAGCAATTCGTCGTCATCATTGACTTCGTCACAATTAATTGGGTCAAATTAATGAATCCTCATTTCGCATTCACTCATATTGATTGTTGCCATAGGTATTAAATACATTATTACCAAATTATTTTATACAACTTCTATTCAATATAATCCCAGGGCTACCCTTCTATGCTTCCTAACTCTATGATGTTACTATTATATGCCCAAATCATCCAACTCTACTTTTAATTAACTTCTTCAATAACTATCACCCAATCATTCCTAAATTCATTGTAAACCTAGATTTCTAAAAGAGCTTCTTACAATCATCTAAACATTGAATTTTATACATTGAATTTTATAGTTCAATAATAGATGCAAAAAAAAAACGTGGCATTTATGGGACTAACTTTTCTCCACCTAAGAGTAAAATCGCCCATATAATTAATTCTTTTGTTATCGCCTACAAATGAAAGATCAAAATCATTCAATATCTCTGACAGCACTAACACTAGTAGCATGCAATACTTCAAAAACATTATGATTATTTGATCATCAATTAGTTGAGTCACATTTTTCATAATGTGCGTCTCAAATTGCATGATAAGATAATTATATTTTTTATTAATAGCTTTAATTAAATACATCAATTATTAATGGAATATTGTATGTATTATAAAAATTTGAATGGTGGAATACAAGAGTAAACCTAGACTTTCAAAAGTACGCCTAGTTATCTCATCATCTCTACATAATTGTATATTTCACATATTTGATGAATGGTTAAAACATTACGAAAATTCATGAAACTCAACCCACATAGTTTTATATGGTAGATCGTGTCAAAGTTGTGATCTTAATTTTGAAAAACATATGAATCTATAAAAGCAAACACACAAAGGAGATGATTTAAGGAATCCCATAAACAAGCAACTTTATTTTGTAATTAAATTATCAGATGGATTGAAGAAGTTTTGAAAATTCAAAAATTTAACTTCCATAATTTATTCATAACAATTCGTCGTCATCATTAATTTTGTCACAATTAATTGGGTCAAATTAATGAATCCTCATTTCGCATTCACTCATATTGATTGTTGCCATAGGTATTAAATACATTATTACCAAATTATTTTATACAACTTCTATTCAATATAATCCCAGGGCTACCCTTCTATGCTTCCTAACTCTATGATGTTACTATTATATGCCCAAATCATCCAACTCTACTTTTAATTAACTTCTTCAATAACTATCACCCAATCATTCCTAAATTCATTGTAAACCTAGATTTCTAAAAGAGCTTCTTACAATCATCTAAATTTTTTTTTCATATGCTTCATAGATAGTTAAGCCATCACCAAATTCAGATTAAACTCAACAAGTTTGACAAATAAACCCATAGTTGGTCTAATCCAATATAAGATAACTAAAATGAGCACGCATCAATCACATAGCATGGACAAAAAGACTCACAACGGAAGGGTCCAACTCACAGAACTCCGCAGTATAGGGCTTTCTCTGGCTCTCCCAAATCTCAAGAGCTTCGATAATACCAGAAGACGATGTATCTGTTTGCGTACTAAGATAATCAGAGAAAGACAAGCATAAAAAAAAGAAGTTCGAGAAACATATATAAGAAGGCGACAACAACCAACTCCAATGTAGTGGCCTATTTGAGCTTCGTCCCACTTATCCGTGTCAGTTCCGCCGCCGCAGTACAAATCACAAACCTTCAGCAGACATAAGGAGAAGTATTCAAGTAAAGAAAATTGAAGAAGAAGAAGAAAGATGGTGCGGAGTAGAGGGGAGCACAAACCGATGCATACGGAGACACAAAAATCTTGATCAACGCTTTCTTTGCAAATTCATAGAGCCGATGATGCGCTAACTCCATCCGACTGTTTGAAGGTAAAGGAGCCATCGTTGCCGGGACGACAGATGAACCCATAACAGTTGCCATCATCCAGTAGACTCAGAACTCTTGATTGAGAGAAAACCTAATGTGCATCCGCATTAGTAGTGGGGAAGCTAGAACAAGTACAGATTCGTGAAGAATTAAAGAATTGTCAAAGAGAAATCGAAGAAAAGAACGAGAAAACCCTAAGCTTCGGGTGCATGATTAAAAATTAAAAACATGAACGACGGTGAAAAGGAGCTCCATAAAATATATTTCAAACACAGCACTCGAGTCAATTAATTTTTCTAAGAAAATTGCTCATTATATTTATATATATATATATATATATATATATATATATA